CTACACCTGCTGAAGACACAGATGTTCATCCCCGTGAACACTGGGACGGAACTCAATGGGAAAGGAAATGATTCCTATTTCTTATTTCAACCGTTGTGTATATTAGCTGCGACATATGAATCAAGATGCTATGACCGAAAAAATTTGATTGACAGATGACTGTTGATATATAATTGGCCGAATTTAGGTGTTCAGGCTGACGTATAACTAACTGGCCTGCATTAGATAATGATTAAAAATAAAATTTTAATAGAAATTTTCTTAATTTTTGGAACAATATCATCTGATAAAGAAAACATTTATATACATGTTTAAGCCAGAATGATTTAACATTAAAACTGTTCTTTCAGTCCAGGAGGATTGAGTCAGACTAACTTTCCTACGATTCAGGAGAACCTGAAGGTAGTGTTTTAGTTTTTCTTCCTCTGATACAAACCGAGTTAAATGCAGTGTTTCCTGAGACCTCCTGCACCAGAGCAAAGGAGAGCTGATACAACTCTGGTAACCTAAGTCTAACCGCCGAAGGAGCAACAGCGATGCCCAATATTGCTGTTTGCCCAAGAAGCCATTAGAGGCCGATATAAGCTGCCGATCTGTGACTAGTGCTGCCTAATAGGAGCCCTGAGGAGCTGCTACATGAGGGCCGCAGCTACCAGCTAACCGGTGTAGCTAAAGGGAGACGTCCCAGGCTACCATGAGTTATAAAATTAAACCCCACTTTAAAAGTTATCTGTTATTTATGCATAGGACTGATCCAAATCTTTATGAAACCTGCTGTTGGATGTAGTGAACCGGACCAGGTGATGAACTGAACCGGGGCGAAGGCCTTCCATTCCGCCAAGCCTAAACACTAACAACCATCTCTTCATCTGATGCTTAAAGGGGAACACCGTCTTTTTTTTCACATTGGCCCTTAATTTTACATTATTACATCATGTTCTACTCACCTATATTAGTTTTGTGTCACTTGGAGCCGTTCTGAAGATATTCGGTTAGGTTATATCCAAGTAACGTCTTCCTAGTCTTCCTATGGGCAACGACTTGAAGGCACAAACTAAACTTTTCATAATTTATTATTTATGGTACGCCAGCATTCATAACATGTAGGCGAATCACTGTCCCCCAGACATCCACGGTAATATATTTTGATATTTTTATTTATTAAAAACAAAGCGGAGTGTGTATGACGTCATCCACACGCCAGACTGGATTTGTGACAGGCAGCCCGGGCCACAGGCAGCTAAGCTCTACTCCTCATATTCATTGGGCTAGCTAATCTGAATCGTTCAATTCCATTTGGAGAGCGAGATCATCTGTGGTAGTAGCTCTAGACATCTTCCAGGCATGTGAGTAAAACTAGCAGCAGTTCAGCGGACAGGATGAATGAACGGTAGCCAGCGCGCGCCGAATTTGATCTATAATACGAAATATGAAATAATGCAATTTGTAAAACTTAATGTATCAAAAAAAAGAAGTTTATTGTGTAAGAAAACCTTCCTGAAATTTAGTTGTTTCTCTAAAAATAGAATCTGAAAAATAGAACATGGAAAAAACTAAATTAACTAAATCTGAGAAAACAGCAAAATTACAAAACCCTTTTTGTTTAAAAGAAGTTTGTTTAGAAGAAAATTCAATTTACAAAATCTGTTCTTTTTTTGCAATAATAATAATGGAGCTAAATTCATTCCTTAAAGAATAGTTCAAATGAATTATTAAAAGATTAACAATGGAATGGAAATGTTAACCATGATGAGCTCATATAAATGTTTAAACTGCTCTGTATGAGTGCACATTTCTGTGAGTACCTGGACTTCCTGGGGTCCCCGGCCCTGGTAGGGGGACTCTCTTGTTAGGTGCAGTCTGGGGTGGGGCCTGAGGGCCCCCTTGCCTCTTTATCTGGGCCACCACCGGTTTGGGGGAGACCGGAGGCTTTGGTTTCCTCACAGGACCTCCTTCGTTTCCTGCAGGAGCTCCCTGGTCCACGCTGTCCCTGCGGGGAGCCGGGGCCACTTGTTGCTGAGGTTGATGCTGAAGCTGAGGCTGAGGTTGCGGCTGTTCTGTCACTCCAGCATCAGACGGCGGGCGGCGTTTAACAGTGGCCGTGCCGTTCTGGTACGGCTGCGGCTGCGTGGTGTTGGGCTGCCCGGCGCTAACCGCTTCTCCATTGGCAGCAGCCATTTCAGCGAAGCCCTCGGGCTCCTTGTCGCGACTCTTAGGACGCCGTTTGACGGTAGACGACTCCTGGAGGGTGAAGTCTGAGCCGTTGGGGTGGGATTTGGAAATACGGGGCCGTCGTTTCAAGGTTCCGGTGGCTTCAGGGCCATCTTCCAGGGTGAATCCCCCGTCTTCTGGGGGGGCATCGCTGTCACCCTGCAGACAAACACAAAATACACACTAACGGAAAGTTCATACATTCATGATAAAAGGTCATTGTTGCACAAACAGTCAAAGCATGAACAAAGATAAATGGAAACAACAGTTAAAGCTGAGCAAGCGCGTTAGCTTCACCGTAGCTTTGCACATTAGAGCACACTGACTTTTAGAACATTACGTAGATAATGCAGAGTAGAATAGATCGACTGACGCATAGACAAACATGAATATATACAAATAGTTGGATAGTTACCTGTCCTTCTCCGTCTCCTCGAGCTTGGCGGCGGATGGTGAGGCTGCCCTCTTCGGCGAATGGAAGGTTTTCCGATGAGCTGCCGCTGCCTGCTGGGCAGGGGACTGGGGAAGATGGAGGCTGAGGTGAAGAGGAGTTCACGAGAGGAGGGGAGGACCGAGGCGGAGGTTGGGTGGAAGGTGGGGTGAAATCCATTGGACGTGGTTGTTCCCGCCTGGCGGCCTCCACCAGCTCTGTTACGGGCCCACTGATGGTTCGCCGCCGGTTCACCACCTCACCGTCCAGACCAATGGTCTCTCTGGTTTTTCCCACCTGGAAATAATCAGCAAAGGTTCTATTTCTCTTGTTTTGTAAACAAGACTTTTCTTGTTTCAAGACCCAGTTGAGGTGACACCGTCCTGGAGGGAAATACCAGCTGAACTGCTGCCATCAGCACCTTCAACTATAGATATTAGCCTGACCTGTTTTTCAGTGCTTAGTCCTGTTTCTCTTCTAGACATAGTTATGGGCTAAGATTTTACTGTGACTAACTATATGGTGTCTTTCATCTTTTCTGACATGAAAATCAGAGCTCATCTGATTAACTGTGCAAAAAATTTATCTTAACCTTTTCTAACCTAGAAAATATTTATAGATCAGTGCGTGTGTGTTTCTTTTGTTTCTCTACTTCCATCTCCTTTAACCAAAAATCCACAGCAGCAGGCCGATCACCCCAAGCCTGTTCTACTGGATATTTCTTCCTGTTAAAATGACATTTCTCCTCTCCAGTACTGCTGCATGCATGCTCAGTGTAAGGGATTGCTGCAGAGTCAATAACAGACTGCAAGTAAATTTCTACTGTTGCCAAAAGCTCATCCAGGAGGAGCACATCTTGTCAGTAACGTATGCAATGCATTACACCAAACACAATTTGGGCAGCAAAAAAGCATCTGCTGCTACATTTTTTATGCTTGTCAATACAAAGGTCAATAACGTGTGTGTATATATGTATAGATATATCTATATATAT